GAAACTAACTCTCACAGGCTGTGAGCAGCTCAGCAAACACACCCTGAGCCACCCACTCGGCTGCCTCAGCACACACCTCAAGTGCAGGCAGAGTGGAGCAAAGTCTGAAATTCAGCTGCTGCATTAAATTCTACAATTAAACCTGACAGAGACTTTATACCCGCTGTTCCTCTCAGTAACACGGGGCTGTGAAAACCCCACGCTGGGTTCCCTTCTTTCTTTCCTTGTGGAATAGATGGTTGCTAGCATCACCCTGGGATGCTCTGCACCATGGGTGAGACCCAGCCTCTCTTTTCCACTGATTAGTTTTCTTGTTTTCTGTATCATCCGATTTACCTGTCATAATAGGAATCCTGGTTAACAGCTCGGATTTCCTGACAGTCACATTTCTTCAAATCCACCATGGTATTTCTTAATCCAAATCCATGTTTGCACTTCCTTTCTCACCTGCCATATCTTCTAACACAAACCTCTGACATCCTCAGAGGATTACTGCAGAGGGCTTTTCCTCTTCCAGACCAGCTGTGATCCTACTGTGTGCCCTATAGCATTCCTATAGCATTCCTATAGCATTCCCTCTTGCTCTAGGGGAAAAAAAAGGGTATAAGGCTCTCTTGCTTTAGGGAAAAAGAGGGCACAACCCTTCCCTCAGGTGTGGCCTCTTTGTCAGATGCTGAATGAGCTGTACCTTTCTGATCCCTTATCTCAGCAGCTGCTCTTTGCAGTGCTGGGTGAAGGTCTTGTACCCTGGCCCTAGGGCAGGCTGTTCACCTCCCCAGAGAGCTGACTGCCACGCTTTTGGAGAGCAGCTTCCCCTTCTCACTGTGTGCTTTTAGGGTCACTCCATTCATCTGCCCCACTGAGCTGTGTAGGGGTTAATGAATTACTGCTTCCACAGCTCTTTGAAGACCAAAAGTGCAATGGAAGGGCTCTGTTATTGTTGCCATGTATGAAGAGTTCTGTACCAAACCCCACTGTATTGTATTTGGCCACTGGATGTCACAGCTGCTCAACACACAATGCAGCTGAAATAAGAAGGGAAAAGTGCTTCCTCAGCAATGGGCAGCAGCCACATTGCCAGAGCTGTTATTTGTTCTGTAAAGAGTATTTGTTTGTTAAGGGGCTTGGGGTCTTCTCCTGCCTTTATGCACAGCTAATATTGATTTTCAGAGAGACTGAGCAGCAACTGTGCTTCCTCTGCACGTTATTGCACTGGGGGATCAGGAGCAAAATGAGTATTTTTATGGAAGGAGGTGCAGATACGTATGAAATACTAATCACACCATGCCTGAGAAGGTGGGCAGGTATTTGCACACGCTGACAATCTATCTTGTCACTGAATTTTTCCTTCTTTATCCCACCATCATCCAGTCCACAGCACAGAGCCCTGGTATGGTGGAAAAATTCTCCACGGCTGGCTCTAGGCAGCAGTCCTTCGATCCCCACACTCAGGCCACATCCCTGTGTCCCTCACTTAAATGCAGAGGAAAGATTTACCTCCCCCATCCCTAGTCCTCCCTTCCTATTTTGTATTTTTTCAAAGTCTCAAATGGAGCCCCAGAACATGAAGTCGCTTTTATGTCTGCAGAGCAGACCTATGTAGACATTGCAAGACCTGTAATTACATTTCCTGGAAATCAAAATGAAGAGGGATTATTTGGCCACGTTCTCTTCTTTTTATAGCATCACATTGTCCTTTTCACCACCTTGGGGAAATGGCTCGTGGTGCAGCGAGGTGATGACCACCCCAGAAGTGATGTGAACACTGAGGAGGGAAAAGTATTTTAAGATAATCCAAGAGCTCTAGCTATAACTAAGAGTAATTGCCTGAAACTGAGCAAAAGAAAATTTAGGTTGACAAGGAAGTGCAGGTAGCTAATGCTGAGATCTGTTAAACCATGAAATCGAATCCGCAGAGGAAACGTCTCTGCTTTAAAACGGGTAAATCCTTATTTTAGGAACACTGGTGCAAGCCTCCAGTGTCTGTCACTGACTGCCTCAAAGCCCTTTTCTCTCACAAAGCTTCAGTAGAATCAACAAATGTATCTGAATTTATGTCGGTAGAAGGTGAATTTAGCCAAGCGCATCAAAGTATTATATAAGAGGAAGGAGGCCTAAAGGGATTGTGTGAACTGGAGAAATGAATTCTAGCTCTTTTCTCCCTCTGACTTCAGTGATCTCTGTATGTAGTTGAAAGCTGGGGGGGGGAGAGGCAAAAAAACCCAAAAAGTTGGGCAAATTTTCAAAGTAGCTAGGGCCAGTTTTGTAAGGAAGATGTAAAAACATTACAGGAATTGGTGAATAAAAGGACTCATGTTTCAACCTGCACAGCTATCGCCAGCTTTACTCACGGGCATGGCCCTACCAGCACTAGCTGCTTTTCTTCTTTCATAAAAATTGGTAATCCCTGAATAGTTTTGTTCATCCAGCACGACTTCTGCAGGGAGAGCTCTCTTTGAAGGGGTTTTACACTCACAGGAAAACCTAGATGGCCTGACTGAAGGCAACCCATCCATCTCACATCAAACAGCCCATTCCTGGTCAAATGTTTGCTGGACTTGGGCGTGATGCATCTATTACTGCAACCCCTGATGAAATTCCCGCTGATGCAGAGGGAAAGGAGTTAACCCTTTCAAGTTCTGGGTCAAAGGAGCACTGGGGTACTGAGCCAGCTACTTCCATGCAGTGTCAAGGTTTTAATGTGGCTACCAATACTTAGAAGGGATCTGAAAGTCAGTCTTGAGCTGAGCTTTAGGCCAGCGAGGACAGAGGGAATAGCCTGGGAGAAGCAGGATTTAAAAGATGGCAAAGAGTCAGAGAAAACTGTAGAGATAAAAGTGAAGCGCATGGAAGCCAATGATGTGGGATAAAAGGCTTATTTCCTCCTGTAGTCAAGGCGGGAGGGGGGAGGCTGAAGTCTCTGTAACTGCGTCCGTGTGAAAGGAGCCTGCTCCTGTGCGGAAATCATGCCAAGATATTCATGGCTGACATTCCTGACATTAGATGTTCCCACTGGCTAAATTTGGGTGCAGAGATTAGTCCTGCTAGACCTGTGATCTTCTTCACAGTGGAATAAACACCAGTTTACTGCAAGCATGGTGCTGCCGGGATACCTGGAGGTCCTCAGCGCTGCGTCCATACTTCTCTCTAGGAATTATCCTGGGGTGGCTGAACGGATGACTAACCCAAGCCACAAGCCCGCCAGGTTTAATACCATATGCACTAAAAAACCCCTATAGCTCCAAGAACCCATAAACAATGGTTGACATGTGTAATACTTTGGACAGGAGAAGGACTCCTTCCGTATTATCCAGCTCGTAGTTAGAAGCTTAATATTCAAATACATTTAAGGAGTGTAATTAAAATTATCGTCCTGTCATAACTCCAAAACGAATTCATACTTAGCGCCCTCCCCAGATTGCTGTGTCTTCCAGAGAGGTGACTAATGTGGGGGAAGCTAACCTGAACTAAGAGATGTGGTTTTGGATGCGCTGAGCGCCCGCGGCTCCCGCTGATGTCAAGGGAGATGTCACAACTTCAGCATGTTGCAAAAGCTCCATTAAAAATTAATTCACTGTCATCTCCAGTTTCCTGGCACCAGTGCACTCTCAGATGGGCTGTATTTCAAATCCTTTGTGCAGACTGGGCTAGCTGATGGATAAAGCACAGGCAGGAGACACAGCTTGTCCCTAAAGGACATCCAGTGAAGCACCCTTGGGGCGCACACACAGGCAGGGCGGCAGGAGGGATGCTCTGGTGCACAGGTGACCTCCTGTTCTTCGCTCTTGCTCACACCCTCACGGGCTGCTGTGTGGAATCCTGGAGTGTAAAGAGGTATAAACGCCCCAAATTTCTCCCTCAGCTCATTTCAAAGCCTATTTACCCAACTGGATCCGCAAGGATTATGAAGTGCATTGCAGAGCATGTTTGATTAGTTTAGTTCTTACACAGTTCAGTGCAACTGTCAGAATAAATGACTTCTTCAGGGAAGAACGCACATTTGGTTAATCAACTCCATACTACAGCTGTTCCCAAAGGTTACACATGCACTGCACAAACCAGGAAAGGCCTTTTAATGTTAACAATTTGCTTGCAAAGAATAAGATTTTGAATTAAAAACCTGCTTCTGTTCTTCAGCGTGGTCTAATCCTAGAAAACTGTGTTCCCATGAAATCTGTAACTCACCTCGCTTTTGTTCAGATTATTATTTGAATTCCAGTATGGTATTTAAGAAGTCACCAGGGTTTCAGTACCTTGTATCGTGCCTGCATCTTTCAACAGTCTCAACAGTTTTTCAGAGCTCTTGACTTTTCCAAAGGTTGCAAATCTCTCACATTCAAAACCAGATTTTCAGTGACTAGAGGTGGTGTTGAAAGCAACATGCTTTGAAACACTAGGCTTGCGGGTAGGGAGTGCTTTTCAGTCTGTTTCAGAAGTCTGATTTTCAAAGGAGACAAGGGTCTATAATTTTGACTTCTAAGAAGACAGTGAGTGCTCAGCACTGTTGAAAACCAGTCCCTGAAATACCTTGTGCCTTGGCTCCTTCCTCTGTAACAAGAGAACAGTTGGCCACTCAGGGCAGTGTTTTGAGGTCTGCGTTAGGGATCTTTGCTTACACAGCACCGTTTTAAGGATACTCACAGGGAAGCTTTTCTACCTGCTCCTCAGGACTGAATGGACAGGAGTGGGCAGCAGCGGGGTCAGTGCCTCCAAGGCCAGCAGCTTGGGGCACGGGGAAACAAACCTGTTCCGCTTGCACAGGCAGCTCTGTACAGAGGATCAATAAAGCACCTTTAGCGTTTCAAGCTGACCATCCAAACCAAGTACCTCTGTGGCACCGTTTGCTGTTACTGTTTTGGGTGGGTGAGAAGGGTGGGATGGGTGCTGGCAAGGCCAGAGCTGGAGTAAATTGGTATTTATGCTTCCCAAGGATTTTTAAAGTCTCCCCTTGGTTCTGACTGCAGATACAGCGAGACATGTGGGTCGCAGCTGTCTTGTTCCTGGTGCATCTGAGCTGCTCGCACCTAGTGCACTGGACATACAAAGGTAATGAAAAATGAGGTTTTTGGGGGATTGCGACTGCTTGCTCAAGACCCTCCCATCCCTTTTCTGCTGCAGAAGCAACACTCAGCTTGACTCTCTTTCCATCAGTGAAAGATCTCCACAGAGCAGCTAATTTATTCCACTTTATTGATGCCTGTGTGTCGTGAAAGTGATTCTCTTCAGTGTCACCCCTTTTTTCTCCTTTGTGTGGTTAGAACACATTGTCAGAGTTGGCAGACCATTGAGTTGCGAACAATGGGGGCAATCTTTACAGTGTGTTAGAATAAAAGCTGCCCTTTGGATGATCCTGGAAGGAAAAGCTTTAAATACTGCCTGTTTGTTGTTTTATTGTCATATCCCATGCAGTTCAGACCACTAAGAAGTGCTTATTTATATATTTTGTGAAATTTTATCTGATTTTCCTTTGTTTGAGAGGGTTGTTTGCAGAGCTCATCGAAGTAAACGGCAGTCTTTTATGTTCTTCAGTGGGCTGGGAATCAAGTTACAACAAAGGATATTGTTGAATAGATGCGGGATTGCAATTTGGACACTAAGCTGTTTGCAGAGATTCTCTCTATCTCTTCTTTTGTCCAGGCTGTCTGCATCTCCTAAGCCCCCTGTATTTAATCGGTGTCAGGAAACAAATACCTGCAAACTGACATCGCTTAAATGGAACAAAAAGAAAAGAATCAGCAAATAGTAGCAAATCCTCAGGTGTGACTGTAACTGTAATAATTTGAAAATGAGGAAAATGAATAGCTTTGAACTATTTTCTTTTCACAACCTTCTCCTCGCCTTCCAAAGCATCTCTGCAGGATTTGAAGTCAGCGAGTTCCACAATCTCAATTCCTTAGCTGTAGCTCTGTTTGTCTCAGACTGACATGACTGACATTAATCAATATATTGCAGTTCTGGGGTGAAGAAGAAAAGGTTTCCTAACTGATTATCAATCACAGCCACGCAGAGATGGCATCAAAATTTCTACTTACCCTTAAAGTTCTAAATACAGCACAATGGAGAGAGCAAATAGCCTTGAAGGGTTCAAGCACTTGTTAGGAGTTTCAGCAGCACCCAGAGCACCGCAGGAAAGATTCAAATTAGGGCGAAGAGGCTTAGAGCCATTGGAAAAACGATACCAATCACCATGCCAGGTCTCGTACACATTTGCTTCCTCCACAGGTGACCACAGGAGGATTTTAGCATTAAATACTTGCAGAGTGCGTGCAGGTGAGCCTGGGCCTTTAGTGTGTAGTCCCATCTCAAAGGTTTGTGTCCGAGCTCGTGACACCGGGCAGGAAAAGGAGACGGTATTAACACTAAGCATGACCTTGACAGGTTGTTGGGCCTGGGGGCTGAAGTGGCATCAAGAGCTCAGAGCAATCAACTGAATCCTGAAATTGGGACACTCAGGTCCTATTCCACATCAGGATCCGTCTCACAAAAGCAATTAATCACTTTCCCGTTATTTGTTGGGTGTAAAAAAGGGGGCACCAGGAAAAGACACCGCACAGCGCTCAGGAGAGGGGTGGGGGTTGTTAATAAAAACACACTCGGGACATCAAAGCCACCCCAGACTGCTCCTACCCCAGAAAACATACAAAAGGCTCCATTTATTTAAAGCATTTCACTCCTTCTTCCGTTAGCTCTCTCCATAGTTAAAAATAGCAAATTTGCTGCCAGTTCCCAATCCTAAGCAGAGACTTTCCCGCTGCTGCCCTGCTCCTACATTGGTTAAGAACATGTTTCCACGACCTTTGGCAGTCGAAACCCATTTAAATGCCCATTTCTATAAAAACACAGCTTCCCTGGAGGTTCAGTCTCCAGCGATCAGTAAGCTATTACTGCAATGCCACTTTCGTATTTTGCAGCACAGCTGTCCTGCAGACAGAATAATGCGTATTTTCACTCTGGGGAAGGCAGAGCAACCTTTGATTGCTGCAGCTCGTGGGGTTATAACAACTAGATTGGCATGCCCTGCTAGGAAATGAGGAGTGTCTTCTGGCAGTTCTCACCGTGTCCTAATAACCTGCTTTGCTTGTCCTCTGCACAGAAGGAGAGCTGGATGAAGAGCACTGGGGAAAGCACTTTGCAGACTGTGCTGGCAGGCACCAATCTCCCATTGACATCCAGAGGAAAAAAGCGAAGTACAACCTCCAGCTGCAGCTGGAGCTGAGCGGTTACGACGGGCCTTTGCAGGGGGAATTCACAATGACCAACAACGGTCACTCTGGTAAGACGGAGGGGATATCCTTCTCATCACCTACCCAAAAAGAGGCGCTGGTCAAGGAGTCATTGCTGGAGGTTTCCCTGGGCAGTGTGGTATTCACTTACTACGCGTGGTTGGGGTATAAAGGAGACTTCACACGTTCGGGTATGTGTTCTCCCGGCGTGGCCGGATATGGGAACAGCTCCCATGTGCCCATCTCAGCTCTGTGCCATGGCTAAAATGTGATCACAAACCGTTTGTGGCCAGCGAGTCACACTAGGTTTAAATGTGGGGGAATGAGCCAGCTTTGCCCTAGCAGTAAAGCAGTTTTTCCTTCCCCGGCTGAGCAGACGGTCTGGGAGGATGTCGAGCTCGTGGCGGTGCAGGAACAGATTATTCAGTTTAGCTGGTTGAAATGCTACTCACAGAGAATGCCTTTTATTTTGTACTCACCTTACTTTGCTTTGCCATCTCAACTCCTCCTGCTCTCCTGGTTTTGCTGTTTTCCCCAGCCACACAGGAAAGCTCTCCAGAAACACATGCACAAACCAGAGAAATAAAAGGCAGTTATGTTTTTGCAAGATATTTTCTCTGTTAGGCACTAGAAGAGGATAAAAGGCAGCTAGAGCATTATAGATTGACCCTTTCTTTCAGCGAAGCACAACACTGCAGGACTGTAGTAGCGAGTGGTATTTAGGGCACACCGACACAATAAGAACCAAAAGCGATGGGAATGGAGAACCATGGTGCACTAGCAAGTTTGCATCTGAGGTTCGGTCACCCAGAGGTCACGCAAAGCACACACAAACACTAAGTACAACACAGAGGAGAATCCCTCCCCTATAATCAGGGGCATTTCGGGTCTCGGGAAGGGAAGCTGAAGCACAGCGTGGGCCACACAGTCTCAGGGCAAGGCCAGGTGACTAGTGCCGAGTCACCTTCCTGCCTGGTGCAGTCTTTGTGGTGCAGAAGCCTGAGGTCAGGAAGGATTTCAAGCACACCAGGCTTTAAGCTTCGGTGGTTTTCCTTGCATACTGGAGTTAGCACCCTGAACATGACTGGGCCAGCTTATTTCAGAGGGTGCTACTGGCAGAAAGCATTAAGCACTGTAAGCGTAGCTACAAGAACAGGCATGGCTGCACCCATTGCTGTCTCCAATCCTCTTTTCCAGTTCAGATTGATTTGCCACCCACCATGCACATCTCCAGAGGGCTCCCAGGCCGCTACGCAGCCGTACAGATGCATCTGCACTGGGGTGGCCTGGACCTGGAGACCAGCGGCTCTGAGCACACCATAGACGGGATGAGATACTTTGCAGAGGTACTTGTGAATGGAGTGGGCTGGAGAGAGGGTGCGTTGCAAGTCTGGCAGTTGGGAAATGGAAAGCTGCAGCCCACAAAGCCTGCAGGAAGCAACAGAGGCAAGTGGGAGAAACAGGGCTCCCTCCCATAAGTGCAGGTGGCTGGGGCAATGTGAGGGCTGAGCCTGATGGTGCTGGCAGAGGAGACTAAGAAAAGCCATTGCAATAGCACCAATATCCTTCAATGATGGAGTTGTTCCTCCACGCTCATCACAAACCTGTTAAACTAAAGGTGTATTGGCTGTGCTGCGAGGCACAAGCAGCAGGAGGTGGGATGGTGACTCTTCAGTCCGTATTTGGTCCTTTAAAGCATGGAGGAAGCTATTTATCACTTCTTCGTACATGACCCTCTTTTCTGACAGCTGCACATCGTCCACTATAACTCTGCTAACTACTCCAGCTTTGAAGAAGCCAAAGACAAACCAAATGGATTGGCTGTGCTTGCCTTCCTGTATACGGTAGGTATGATGCCCAGGTTGCTGAGCAAGGCCAGTCTGTGGTCCCCAATCACACTATAACCACCATCTGAGCAGGTCCAGACACAAGCAGCCTGGCCTGAGTATCCACATTTATCCTAAGAGATGATGCCTGGCAGCAGTTTGAGGAAGCTGTGCCATAGCAGAACTGTTCTTCCCTTGTGTCATCTGGGGCTCGCACAATCCCAAGCTGAGTTTTCCCTGCTGTACCTCAAGGCTTTGCTCCGATTCGCAAAGGGGAACACTTGATTGTGTGTGGATTTAGAACTGGTGAAAAAGGATCCATTCAGTTCACTATTCTACCCCAGATCCGTGTATACATACCTCATGCCTAGGGTTGTCCAGCCTGTCAAGACACCTGCAATGGTATTTGTTCTTGTTGCCTGCCACATCATCAATTTAGTGCCCCAAACAGATTAGAAGTGTAGAAGGACAGGCAGGTCACTAACCTTTTGATCAAGTTTCTATGCTGTGTTTAGGATGGGCACTTTGAGAATACCTACTACAGTGAATTCATTTCCAAACTGGCAAAAATCAAGTTTGCAGGTAAGACCTGGGAATGCCTTTCTCCATCCTTGATATTCTCAAAGCCTGTACGTATGTACTGGGCCTGGGGACAGACATCTGGCTGCTGCTTTACTTGCAGTTACGTGGCCAAGCATCCTCAGCCATGCACAACTTCACGCCATCCCTGCCCACGCATCTCAAACAGCAGCCCACGGGCAGGGTGGTGCGGGAGGTGCGCAAGGCACCAAGAATCTTACTCATGGTAGGTCTCTGCGACACGCTGCAGAGCCAGCAAATAACTTCTTATGATCTGGCAGATGCTCTGCTGCACCAATACCTGCGGGCTTCCTGGGAGGACTAACACCTCCTACTAGCAGAGCATGGAGATGCAGCTGCCCCCCACCTCCAGGACCCCCGGTATCTCTGAATGACAAACTGTAGGTCCACTGAAAGGACCATTCATTTCCCTCCACCTTCATCCACTTCTTCCAAAGGACTAATATATCAATGCTCTGGGCTAAGTGATTTGCCAGCCTCAGCCCTAACACCACTCTCCCCTCTTTGTTCCCTGTTAATTGTTAATATTGACCCTCTGTTTCCTTCTGAGGTCAATCAACAAAGCTCACTTCTCTGGATGTCCAAGCCATGCTGCCAGAAAACCTCTCATACTTCTACAGGTACCAGGGCTCGCTAACAACCCCTCCTTGCTCCGAGAGTGTCATCTGGACCATCTTTCACTCTCCAATTGTTCTGTCACACACACAGGTAAGTGGTAGCCGTTTACCAGACAGAGCACCTTCTCTTTCCTCCACGCTTCACCTTTCCATATATTTTTCTGTCCTCCGGGAATTTTGGGAACAGCCTGACAGGGGAGCTGATGAGGCATTTCTCATAGAGGGCTTTTGGGATAGACTCCTAAGCAACTGGAATTGCAGGTGGCTGTAACGGCACCCTGATGCTGCATCACAGCAAGCGTCAGGTTCCCGGAGAGCAGCAGTGTACTGAGGTCAGGTGAGCGATAACAAAGCTCCCTGCTCGGTTAAGCTCAAACATGCTGAAGCATTATAAAAAGAAAGCGACCACTCAGAATCTACAAGGCAAACTACTGCAGGAGTGCCCAAAAAAAACACCAGAAAAACCATAAAAGAGCCATTCATAACATTAAAATAATTATAGAACAATGGGCACGTTTTTAGGAGAGTGTTCCGGGTTTTTTTTCCTGTGTACACTTACATCGTGCAGCTAGACTGGATCATTTCAGGAGTGGCCTGGTGTGAGTTTTGGCTGTGTGACAGGAGGGGGCTGGTCCAGGCTGCCGCAGAAGCACTACAGAGGCCCTCGGCGAGTGCGCAGCGGCACCGGGCAGTAGCCCCGCTTGTCCTAGTCGAATACCGTCACAGGGCAGCATCCCCGTCTCTTCTCTGTGTGCCTTGTCAGGACAAAGGCTTTAGCAGGGAAAAAAGTAACACAAGTAAAATAAGTTTACTGTTGAGGCCTGCAGAGTGGTTCATCTTCCTTAAGGAAAAAGGAAGCATGAAAACCACCTTATTCTAGAAGAACGAGATAAAGAGGAGACTCCAGTAAGGGAGGATCGCAGAGTGTTCTCATCTGAAAAGGAAGTACCCTTTTTGGCAGGGGAAAAGGCTAGTAGGCACTTGTGAGATAGCAATATGCTACAGAATAGGAGCAAATCCTCCATCCATGCAACCACCAGGCAGGTGTTAAAAACTTCCTTCAGGCAAAATATCTTTATCGTGAATTAAGGTGCGAAAAGCCCTCATGCTCTGCCCCTTTCCCTTGCTAATACTCAGCAAGAGACCCCGTGGGTTCCTCTATAACAAATTCCTAGGTTTAATGCTGAGCTGCGGGATCTGCACTGCGCTTCCAGGCAAAACCGTTGTTCCCGCTGCCCCTCCCTGACAAGCCTGCGTTGCTCACAGATCAGCCTCCTGGAGAACACCCTCCTGGACTGGCACAACAGGACGCTGCGCAACGACTACCGGCACGCTCAGCCCCTCAACGGGCGGGTGGTGGAGTCCTCCTTCAGAGCCAAACTCACCCAAGGTAAAGGGGGTCACAGACCCAGGCTTTCCCTGGGGAAGGGGAAGAAACCCATGGGGAAGGAGTCAAGCTGCTGTCGTGGTGTGCCTCTATGCCCCCCGCCAACACATCTTGCTCTAACGGTGTAGCGGCGGCTGCAGGTTGTGTGCCAGCCCTTTGTGGTGTCACACGGATCTCCCAGAGTAACTGGTGCTAGATGGCACCGCACGATACCAGGTTCAGGTGCATCTGCAGCCATGTACTCACGTACACGAACCGTTGCAGAAACTGCTCCGGCGTGGCTGACTAGCCAGGCACCATATGGAGGCGAGATGCTGCATTTTAAAACAAAGGTTTTCCCCAGACCTTCTACAAACTAGAAAACAGAAAATCTACCACGTGCAGGTCCTGGCCTCCTGTAAATTCAGCTGTATGATTGCTCTAGAACAATGCCCTCCAGAAGACTTCAGCCTCAGACTGGAACAAATCCAGAGGCAGCTCCAAGACATGAAGAGAGAGATGCTGAATGGAGTGAGCCACGTAGGTAAGAAACACGCACCTCCTCCTGAGCCCAGCTTCGGTCGCAAGGACAAAGAGCCCACGCCCTGCTGTCCTTGATGGCCTAAATCATTAACCAGTTTGGTACTGATATGTCCAGGTAGAGTTTTGTCCCATATCTAGACCTGCTGATGGAAATTCAGCTACAGCATCATTACAGCTAGCCCTAACCTAGCTACTGTCACAACAACTGCAGCGTTCTCCTGCAACACGTAAGCACATTTTTTACTAACAGTGAGGAATTTAAGCTCACAGTCCCTCTAGGATAAATAATCATCATCTCTGTGTTACGCAAGACGAGAGAAGAAGAGGGGGAAAACCATGATTTTCCCAAACAGTTGGGTGTGGGAGCTAAGCTTTTCGTCATTTCAAGCCCCTTCCCTGTTGGCACAACCCCTGCCCGTAAGTGTGGCTCAAGGCAGCCAAGACTGCCACAGCCCTGCCAGTTCCTATGGGTGTATTCCTCAGGATTTGGGCTGATTTATAAGCACAGCAGGAAACGTAACAGCTGGCTTTTTGGTTATTTCAGGCACTAAATCCAGCACTTTTCCAGCTTTCTACTTCCCTGTGGAAAACATCGAGAGTTTTGTGAATGTTCATCCCCTCCACGATATGTCTCTCCAAGCCTTCACCTTATGTTTCTGGACAAAAGCCCAACATGCCGGCAGCCAGACTGTCCTTTCCTACTCCACACAGGAGAGGGATAACGAGCTAGTGATGACTGTGGGCACAGATGCGGGACTGTGGATAGGAGGCCATTTCATCAGCTTCCCCCTGTACCACAAGGCACAAGACTGGCTGCACTACTGCATGGCATGGGCTTCCCAGTCTGGAATGGCAAATTTATGGCTCAATGGAGCAGCTGGTAAAGCAAAGAGTATCCAGAAGGGGTATGTGAGCCAGGCTGGAGGGACGCTTGTCCTTGGGAAAGACAGAGACACTCTTCTTGGGACTTTCTCCAATGGTTTTGCGGGGTGGATGACTCACGTGAACCTGTGGAGCCAAGTTCTCAGTCCTGCGGATGTTCGGGCACTTGCACTGTGCAAGCCAGGGCAACTGAGGGGAGATATCATAGCGTGGGGAGAAACCACCATGACCCTCTTGGGTGGGGTGGTGCTGGAGCCTGACACCAGCTGCCAGTGACCCCAGCTTCTCGGGTTTTTTTTTTTAAGACAGCAGAAGTCAAACTGCTGGGGACATTGAGAGAAACTTAGATTATTTGCTTGTTTCTGCTCCTGCTTTGTATAGGCCCACCACATGCACCTGCTAGTGCTCCAGGTCATTTTTCCAACAGAGCAAAACCTCTGTCAGTGGGATAGAAACAGAGCAGAACTTGGTGCAGTCCAACACCTTGCACTGTCACATCCCTCCCAGGGGTTTATTTAGGTCCCCATACATAGATCTTCCAACATGACAAAGAGCTGCCCTCTTTGGTCAAAGGAGCCACCTTCTCAAATAAAATTTCTCTCACATCCTTCACCCAGGCCCAGTTTCTCACCATCTTCCTGCACATGTCCTTCCTTCCTATTTCTCACCCTCAAGTCACCACCCCTTTCCCTGCAGCTGTATCAGACAGGAAAGGGTACACAAAGCCTTTGCAGGACAGCGTGCAGCTCCTGTGCAATCGCTGTGCTTTGGTTAGTGGCACACCGTCTTTTCCAAAATGGATGTAAAGACGGAGCATGGAAACAGCTTCTTTTTCAACACATATATCACAAGTTTGAGGACATGTACAAAACTCTTTTTCTAAGGTTGAAGTAAATCACATGAAGGAGTATCTCCATCAACAACACGAAACGAGACGTGTCGGTCGGGACATACATCACCTTATGACACAGGTTATGGGATCACAGGAACGGAGCTGGCTGAGGACATTGCCCTTTCCTTGTGACAAACACCACGGATGGGTAATTTGCCTTGGTGACGGCTATGCCACGAAGCGGGACGGTCCTGCTAATTACTCACAACGAAAACACTCTCAAGACACAACGGCTTAATTTGGAAACCCCTGTTGCAGAAAGTCTGCAGAAGGTCTGAATGAAGATCAGTATAAACGATGAATCGAAGTATTTGTTCTCCCGCTGAACAGATCCTGAAAAATGTCTGGGCCAGGCCAAACACCGGCTCGGTCACAGCTTGCTGCTGGAGGTTCCCTTCTCCCCTGCCTGCCCATGTGGGACGGTGTGGAAATCCTTAAGCTCTTCTCTGTCATCCTGGATCTCCACCTTGTTCCTCTTGGCCATGATCCTGTTGATTTCCATGAAGGTTTTGTTCTTTGTCTCAGGAACAATGAAGAAGATGTAAACTATGGTGGCGAGGCAGATGGCACAGAAGATGAGGAAGCTGTACGGCCCCAGTCCAGCCTAGGGCAGATGACAGACCAGGGATCAGGGGAATACTCCAGTTTTGTACACTGCAGGATTTGGACATGCTGAACCCCTGATGTGCACATATTTTAAGTTGAATGACTAGAAGCTAGGGGTGGTTCCAAATCCCATCTTCTACAACCACCACAGATTCATTGGAAACCACTACGGATTTACTGGAAAAGGAGGGTGAGGGTCTGTTACACAAATCAAACTAAACTCACCAACTCCCTCTGCACAGGCTAAAATCAGCCACTGTAGCAATCTGTGGGGCAATAATGCTGGTGATCAGTTTGGATTGGTGACCTAGAGATCAAAAGCTAAAACTGGCTCCCTGAGAACCTCCCCCCCCATCCCCCAAAGGAAGATGAGGAATTTGCAATCTTCACCATGCTCCTGAATTCAGGATCAGACATTCACCTGGAAAAGTAACTACTTCTTTTAAAAAGCACTTTCAACAGACAGTTGTGATACAAAATGCTGATTAACATCAGTTTCTTGCCCTTAATATATAATCCTGCATAGAGGTACGGGAACCAGTTTGGGCATTTACAGCTCTCAGGATTAAAAAGGCTCTCTGTGAGAACACAGGGGTGAAAATAGAAATTTTGAGCTGAAGTCTTCCCTATCATGAGACTGCATCTTACCTCCATGTAGAGGAACACAAGCCCCACGGTGAAGTTGCATAGCCAGTGCACAGACCCACCCACCATGAACGCAGCGGGCCGGGATGACTGCAGGAACATCTCGGTGATCATCACAAAGGGAATTGGACCTGGAAGGTAGTTGCATATTTGGAAATCCCAAAAGCAATTCTGCCCCTCTAAATTCCTAGATGACACCGTTCATTGCAGTGGCAGGCAGTGGTTTCTAGACTAATAGTGTTTAGAAACACCCAGAAAAATCAAATTACAGATTAAATAAAAGAAACAGGACAACTAAATGACCTGCCTCAACTGACACAGAGCAATCAACCTCTTCTCTCCTATGGCTGCACCTTAGCCATGAACCCATCTCCAGTACAAATTCTAAAATAAGGTGGATAAACACGAACTGTCTCTCCAGAGCACCCTGTGAGTAGCAACTAAGCACCGTTTTGCTCCAAATCTTATCAGGGAATCTCAAGCACAAACACAATTGTGCCTTTGCTTTTCCTCTTGAAAGCCAGATGCTCCCTGCCTCACCGAGACAGACAGCAAATCACTGGGACATAAACAAGCCCAGCTGACATTCAACAAGGTGCGTGGCCACACAGAGGAGACAGTCCATCTCCTCGGATTAGCTCCACAAAGCTTTTGATTTGAAATCCCACATAACGCTCAGCTTTACCCAACTCGTGGAAGAGTCTAGACTGGACCGCGCATACTTACTGGCGCCGATGGCATGCCCGATGATGTAAACAATGACACACACTATGCTGAGGTAAGACATCCACGAGACGGTGGTCTGTGAAGAATTTAGTCACAGGTTAGATGTGGTTCCCATCTGAACATCACCCACACATTCAAGGCACTGTTTGTAGTAAGATTTGAAGGCATGCTAAAGCCAGCACTACCCTCCACGGCCAGATATACCCACAAATACCCACAAAAGTCATAGTTCAAGTATGAGCCTTGATTGTAACAAATGGATGCAGCAGTTGTTATGAACACGAATACTGGAAATAGCACTCAGACAAGCAGGATCACAGCTTTCCCTGGGGTTTTAGGTAGATCTACGACTGCAGAGACCTTTCATACTGTCAGGGTGTAGCCTGTTCCCGGGAAGGTCCAGACATGCACGGATCATCCAAGCCACTCTACACACCTGGAGATTGAGGGCCAAAGTTAACACTGCACAGGAGACACAGCACAACCCAAAGCCAGCAAGGAGAAGGATTCTCCTCCCTAGGGATTCCACAATGAAAACCTGAAAGAGACAGAAGAGTAGGAGAAACCTGGGGCACAGCACTTCTTATCCCAGAAAAATTTATTAAGGTAGTCTGTCTTTTAAGAAATTCTGTGAAATTTCCACCAGCTACTGATGGACTGTGGGCATGAAGCCACCCAGGAACTGCAAAAAAAGCTGGATGTGTCAATTATAGTGAGAGAATAGGCAGGCCATTCTTCAGTATCCAGTCCCAGCGAGAACTGCAAGGAAGCCTGTGTGGAAACACAGCAAAAGGAGGGCATATCAGCCTGAAAACTTCTGAGGTATGTGAAAAATCAGCACGATTAATCACTTTGGGTAACATAGCTGCCTTCAACCAAGGGTGGAAGGTGTCCCTGCCCATGGCAGGGGTTTGGAACTGGATGATCTTTAAGGTCACTTCCAACCCAGACCATTCTGAAGGGATGCTGCAGGGCATCTATTGTGCAAAGCAGCTCACAGTAGGTGTAAATGACGTAACCTAATCTAAACAGTGACAGACAAGGGAGACAGAGCACGCTAGAACTCAGAGAGCCCTGACAGAAACTTACAGCAAGCAAAGTCATGACGACGTTGATGGCACCTATTGACACAGTGACGTACTGAACATTGCTCTTGTCCACACCTGCCGACTGGAAGATTCTGTCCGCGTAGTAGAAGACCTGCGGCGAAACCACAGCTGCGTTTATATGTGGCCAAAGGCAGAACCCATTCTGGAATCCCATTCTGGCTGCTTTTACACCCTGGAACTGGTGCACAGAAGCCTGAACTGATCTCTTTCGTGTCTGGAGACATTGGTGTTTGGATCCAGGCACAAGCACCTTACCCTAAAAACATCCAAACTATCCTTAGCGAGACAGCTTGACTCTGTACATGTGTGTACTGGACTTGGTACTGGCCAAGGTCAACCCACTGTGACACAGAGCCAGTGTCCCTGAGGAAGGGGTACTCCTATGTCCTAGCTCCTATGAGCCACATAATCCACTCTGAAGTCCCAACCCTTTATCACTCACCCCACTGGCCTTTCCCACCTGCCTTCCCACTCACCGCATTAACCCCAGAGAGCTGCTGGCCCATCATCATGACAACGATAGAGATGAGCTGCCACCGCAAGCCTCTGAAGGTGCACAGGCTGAGTACAGAGAAATGGCCTTCTTCCTTTTCTGAGCGGTCTTCTTGGCGCATTTCTTCTATCTCATCATCCACATCATCCCAGCCTCTCAGCTTCTGCAGAGCTAGTTGGGAGAGGAAGGAGAGCTATGGACCCTGGAGAGCAGGTCTACAGCAAGCACTCCGGCTTTGAATCAAGACAGAACACTACCTAAACCATAGGCAGCAGTGCTTCCATGGTGGGAAGTCATGGACGCAGAGAAAGGAGCGATGTTGCAGCAATTCCACCCACCAGCAACATGTCCGTGAAGGATTTCACACTCACTCCCCTTCACTCTTGGTTGCTGCCAGTCATGTCCCACAGTCAGATCTATCCCGTTCCACCTCCCCTTTCATTCAAGGATGATGCCGTACCTTGTCGTGCTTGTTCTTCATTGCCCTTTTGTATCAGCAGGTATCTGGGGCTCTCGGGGAAAAAGGGCAGTGTAAGGAGCTGAATTAGTGATGGGATCCCAGTGAGCCCCAGAAGCAAGGGCCACCCTGCAACAAGTGAGACAAGATGACAACTGGGAGAAATCTTTCCCCAGTGGAACCCACAGCAAAGTCGGCATTCCCGAGGACGCTGTTGAGACCAAGGATCTGAGCTACAAGGATCCCAATGGTGATGAAGAGCTGGGGCACTACCCCAATAGCACCTCTCAGATTTTTGGGTGACATTTCTCCAAGGAACATGGGAACCACATTGGAGGACAGACCTAGTAGGCAGAGAACAATGTTAGACACGCAGCTGCCCAACGTCAGCGCTCACCACCTTCAGCCAGAGGCCTTTTCCCCATGTGAGACAGTAGCCTGTCTTGCCTACAGAGCTGGCAGGTGATCTGGGGGCTCTCAAGTGTTCATCCTCCTAAAAGCAGCTTTCTCCTAGCAGGGTCTGCCCAGTACTTCAGCACAATACATGCAAATCAATATCGTGTGAGACTTCAGGTTTGCAAACCAGGTAAAAAGGAAGAATTTTTACTTCCTCTAAAATAAGGAAAGAAATCAGCATCCAAACAAACCAATGTGAGGGTGGAGAGATGTGACTTCTTGCTGGCTTTTAAAAAGAAATCACTACTCCTTTGCTCAGTAACATTTTGCAGAAAGCTTTGCTGGTTTGAGATCTCCTGCAGGTAGCATGCTGGAGTAGGTATTTCTGCTCTAATAGGACACTAAGGACACAGGTTATTTTAAGGAACACTGCATGGTTACCCACAGTAACCCCAGAGAGCTGCCAGCTCCCATGCTTACACTGTAAATCCTGGCGTGCAAAACCCAAACCCCTGGAGTCAAATGACCACGAGACTCGATTCTTAGATTTCTAAAGTTCCTAGCCTTCGGGAGCTTGGAGTTACAAAGGTGATCAGCCTGTTACCTGAAAGCCAGAAGGCATGGCAACAAGTCTTAAAGCAACAAGAAAACATTTGTAAGATTTTGCTCAGGAGGTGCGGTGTTTTAAATCTGCACTATAACCAGCCTTTTAATTGCCTAGATTAAAACACACTAGCAGTGACTCCTGGGCACACTTACTCAAGTAAGAGTGGCTTTCCATCTGTTCAGAGCTGTGCTGGTCAAGCCCTGTCCCAGACAGACCCCGTACGCAGCAGAGCTGCCGACAGCGCTGCCAGCACCGGAGCTGCCCTTTTGCTGAGCAGTGACGCCGGGATGCTGCCAGGGCTGAAGCAGGCGGCCGTGGCTCAGCAGCTTCCCTCCCCAGACACAATGCCCACTGTTCAAGCGAGGTCAAGCTGCGAAGGCCAAGTCGGGACAGCCAGTCCGGATCCTTTTGTCAGTTATAAATAACTGGAAAGAGGGATCACACTTAAGAGGTCTCCTGGTATTTATTCAGAGAACCAATGCTAAGAGGAGCTGCCAGGCTTAGGGGAGTTAAAAGCCAGAAGGAAACCATGGGACTAGATAAATTTCCTTCCTTAGCTCACCACTTGCAATTGTTGCATGTTCCAGATCAAGTTGTTTCCCTGTAGCAGTTTGCCTTCTCATTTTACCTTTGCAGGACATCCCCACTCACTAATAAACCATGGACCATGTCAGTCTCACTAGCTCAAAGCCAATTAATTGAGCCTAAATGCTGTCAGGACCTCTATCAACCTGGCTCTGCACGGGGTACTCAGCCATTCACGTTCCTGTTTGTCCCACACTACTGTACTCTAACAGAGCCACTTACACCAGTAACTCACATACACCCTTCTCCTTGGCTTCCCACAATCTGTGCAGTAAATCCACTGGCTCTGAACCCTTTTATCATTTATTTTCTCCTGCAGGAAGAACCATCAGTTCCAGGAATGGATATTAGGACATCTGGGAAAACAGATAATCATCCGCAGGTTTCCTGGCTGCTGGAGCTCCAGCCTAGCAGATGCTTACTGCAGAGGATAGCTGCACCTACAGACACACCATCCTCTCTACAGCTTAAACTCCAGTCTCACTGCAATTGTAGATACTAAAGATCTCTAGTAAGCAACATGCAGACAACAACTGTTATTCAAGTACAGCGTTGTCATGCAGATGTATGGCTAAAACACACTACCTGTGAAACCACTGAGAATAAAAACACCTTTACACAGCCAAGAATATACTTATAGCGCTCCTTTTGCCATCCAACCTCTCACTTACCAGCATATATTCCCATGATAACACGTGAAAGGATGATTACTTCAAAGCTTTTTGTCAGCTCTGAGGTTCCCATAAGGACTGCGGCAGTAATGGAGAAGAGGTTGTTTATCAGCAAAGTACCCTTTCTGCAAAGTAATA